TTTTTAAGATTTTATTTATTTATGTGAGAGAGAGAGAGAGATAGGGAGCACAAGCAGGGGGAGTGGCAGGCAGAGGGAGAAGCAGGCTCCCTGCTGATCAAGGACCCCCCATGAGGGACTCAATCTCAGGACCCCAGGATCATGACTTGAGCTAAAGGCAGACGCTTAACCGACTGAGCCACCCAGGCATCCCTGCCTCTCCCTTCCTAACCAGACAGCTCTGACTTTGCTGTAACTTGGTGTTTCTCAACAGAGGGAGGTAGGATTTTCTCCCAGGAGACATATGGCAAAATCTGCGGATAGTTTTGGTTGTCACACCTGGGGTGGGGATGGGGGTGCTAGTGGAGTCTAGTGGGTATAGGCCAGGGATGCTGCTAAACATCCCATAATGCATGACCCCACCCCTCAACAAAAAATTATCCTGCCCAAAATGTCAGTAGTGCCAAGGTCGAGAAATTCTTAATCCCTCTGGCTACATACCCTTTATTGCTGGAGATACTTCCATTTCTCCTCCACCAATCCGGACCTTATATTGTTTGCTCTGATTCGATCACACTGAGGGGCTAAAGCCAGTGTCTGGAAAGAAGTGGGGGGAGAAAGAGGGAGATTGAGCAAAGGGACCCCAGACACAACTTCTGTCCTCCTCCTCCCATCCCAAATCTGAATGGGGCATAAGCTGGCCCATATACTGCTGACTCTTCTGGATTTTCTGCCCAAGGAGGGACAGCCTGCTGGTTAAGAAGATGGTTCCAGCGTCTGAAATGTTTGCATTCAAGTTCCAGCACTTTCACTCGATAGCTGGATGAGTTTGGTCATGGGAATTAAGCAATCTGTGTCTCAGTTTTCCCATTCATAAAATGGAGATAATCATACCTTTCTCATCAGGTAGTTGTGAAGTACAATGAGATAAAGCACAGAGCCAGGTGCAAAGTCTCTGCTCCACAAACACAGCTATCACGCTAGAAAACAGGTCCCTGGATGCAGGGGAGAGAGCACCTTGCACAAGTCACATGTCTGTGTTTTGGTTTTCCTGCTTGTGGCATGAAGGGTTGGGTTAGGGGATCTGTAAGGACCCTGCTGGCTTTCTGAAAGGATGACTCTTTCCTGGGAACAGTTGGGGGAGCTGCAGACCACGGCCGGCAGACACGGGGATAACCTGAAGAACACCAGGAATGAGATCTCAGAGCTCAACAGGATGATCCAGAAGCTGCAGGCCGAGATTGAGAGTGTCAAGAAGCACTTGGGAAGAGAAGGAAGAGCATGTGTCTGAGACTGTGGGCTTATGCTTGCACCATAACACTAAGGGCTCAGCACTTACTCCTGTGAAATCCTGTCGTAGACTCAAGCGTGCTAAGATTGACCAGGTGCAGTTCTGGGCTGGGTGCTGAATAAAGGTCCTGTCCCCATGGAGTCTGGTGGCTGATGTGGGTCAGCGATACTGAATACTGGCAAGACTGGGGAGGTTGGGGAAAGAAGCTGATTGTGTGAAGACCGAATTGGGAGAGTAGCCTAGGATGGCCACATCTAGATGCACTGGGGCAGAGAGAAAGTTTCTCTGATAATTCGGGAAGACTTCTTGGAGGAGGGAGGTCTTCAGAAGATGCTCAATCTCTTACCATGAAAGGCGAGAAAGGTAAAGGAAGAGTCTGACTCCTCATGAGCTGGGCTACGTCCTTGAGGCCAGGTGTCGATAATCCCCCTCCTTGATGTGCTAGGGCTTAGATGGAGGCCCAGGCTTTAACCTCTGTGGGCCGTGGTTTCCTCATTTGCCCTACATGAGGGGACCCATATGCAGGTACCAAGCACACAGTGCAGGCCCTCAGTATATGAATCTCAATTGGACTCCTGGCACCCCATACCCAGAATGCCAACCTGCAGACGGCCATTGCTGATGCAGAGCAGTGCGGGGAGCTGGGCCTCAAGGACGCCAATGCCAAGCTTCAGGACCTCAAGGCCGCCCTGCAGAAGGCCAAGGAGGGCCTGGCCCGGCTGCTGCGTGAGTACCAGGAACTGATGAATGTCAGGCTGGCCCTGGACATTGAGATCGCCACCTACCGGACCCTCCTGGAGGGCGAGGAGTGCAGGTTAGTGAGAGTCCCTCTGGTTCCCGAGAGGCCCAGTGGCCTGGTGGCTTTGCGGCCTGAGCCTGCTGCTGGGTACCAGGTGCGTGCATGTGCTCTCCACTGGAGGTGGTGGTAAGCCCTCCACAGGCCCAGCCTCCTCCTTTTCAGGGCTGCAAGATGCTGCCAGACCTCCAGGAGAGCTGTGTTCCTAGGCAATAGACACCCCAGAGCCTTATCTTGGACAGGCTTCCCCGCCCTTCTTGTCTGATGTTTTAGCTGTAAAACACGTGTCTGCAAACAGCGGTCATAGGCAGAAAGATTATTTCTAGGCCATTTCTTTATTATGGCCTTAATTGTAGGTTTCTATAGAGTAGGTTCCTGGAGGCTGGCCCTTGGGTACAAGACCCTGGCCCATGTGGATTCAAATAATACTTACCGAATAAAGAGGATCCTGAGGAGTGGGAAGAGGGTGAGTAGGCCAGGGAGTGCTCCTCGGCTGTTACTCTGTGGAGTGTTTGTGGAAAGGGCAAGAACTGAAGTCCAACCTGACCCAGTAGAAAAAAGGAATGCATGCCATGATTTTTCGAGCACCTATCATCCTATTTCTTGTTGTCAGCATCAATCGCTGTTGCCCTAGGCAAGGTGCGTCTGGGGAAGGGAAGAGCTGCACAGGTCACTGACACTGGGGTCTGGTCCTCCCACAGGATGTCTGGAGAGTGCCAGAGTTCTGTGAGCATCGGTGAGGACGCAGGGCTTTCTCTGGGAAGGGGTTGGACTGCTGGGAATCATGTTTTTCAAATCGCGGGCCAGCGCTGGTGAGAGATCATCCTAGCTGCAGGCTGGGAAGAGCTCTTGGGTGGTGGCCAGGGTAACCCCGAGGCTGAGTTCCCAGAGGGCCCACCCTCCTCTCCCCGCTGGTCGCTGGCCCTGCCACCCTGCGCGAAGTCTCAGTGGGCGGGACCCTGGGAAGGACCTGAGGGGAGCGGGTGTGGCCCCGGGGCTGGAGGACGCCCCACAGGCTCCCTGACCCCAAATGCTCTTTGCAGAGATGGTGCACAACAGCGGCGGCGGGGGAGCCCCGGGAGCCGGTGCCCCGGGAGGCGGCGCACTGGGAGG